TATCTGACTGAAATCATCATACCCTCTGCAAGGGTATAAATATTGAAAAGGAATTAAAGGGAAATAGTTTTAATCAAATAGGTGGGATTTTAAGCTTTTCCGTCTAACATCGACTAAAGCTTTCTCTCTTGTTTTTTTTTTTATAATAATAAGCGAAATGAATATTAGAAATAAAAACATTTTGAATGGTACCCTGAATTATCCTGGTATATGGGGTTTATCATCTATGCAAACTATCAATTAGTTGTTCCGAGCAATCATTATGTACTTAATTGGTTTGTTAGGATGTTTGTTTATTTATATTAAAGACAAATATCTAATTCAATGAATTAAGTTTAGAATTATATGCATTGTAGTGTTTTTGTAACGTAACGTGAGTAGTAGGCATAGTTTAAGTTTGAGAGCAAGCCACATCTTTGGCAGGGTAAGCAGGAGCCGCGTAGTGACGTAATGACCTGGTTTGGAGAATAGTTTTAGATCTCCTGGTCCACGTCTTGATTTTTCAAAAGCTTTGGCTTCTTAGCCTGTGGAGCGAACGTATCATTAACCGTATCCTGGGAACCGCGCTTTGGCAAGGAATTTGCTTTAGACTGTTTCTGTTCCTCCTCGGATTGGCGAAGAGCTTCGGGTGAAGCTTCTTCCTCCAGGCCCATGACTCCGCCCAGCTGAAGGACGTTAATCTGATCCCCGGATTGGCGAAGAGCTTCAGACGGTGGTTCGTCCTTCTGCTCACGGCCCACCGCCGACAGTCCCTGTTCGGAGGACACCTGGACGTCAGAGTTGCATTGTTTTAATGACAGGCGTAACACTAACCTGCTGATCTGCGTCGATTTTCTTGGGGCATACCCCGTCCTTCGAGTCCTTCTCCAGGCCCTCAACATAGGTGTTCGAAGGCGGTTCCGCCTCGATCTCCGGCTTTTCACCCTTGCCGGAGGTAGTCGCCGACTCGAGAGCTGCAATTCCGGGCTTCTCGGACCCGGTGGCTACGGGCATGATTGGAATCCCCGAGTCCATTGATGCGCTGTTTCCCCCCTTTTGGTTGAAGGAGTCGCCGGAGGTAGTCGCCATCTCGGGAGCTGCAGTTCCGGGCTTCTCGGACCCGGTGGCTATGGTCATTATTGGAAACCCGGCCTCCATTGGTGCGTCGTTTTCCCCCTTCTGGTTGAAGGAGACATCGAGGTCGGGCATATCGGCCATATTGTTCACGTGTGCAAAGTTTTTGCTGGCTGATTTTTTTTAAAACGTCGTCTCGGTGATCCTTACCGCTGCTGAAAACCACTTAGCACCTTGATCCAACACCCCAAATAGGTTAATTAGGGATTATACAAGTTTTAATGCGCTTACTTTCAGAGGGAACCAATTTCACGTTGGGAAAAAATAATTTTAACATTCAATTTCTTGACTGATATTTGACAGACACTTAGTGTGGTCGCACGCCATTAGGGTTTGCCAGAATCAGTGTTGCCAGATTACTGCGAGTTGATAATCCCTTAGCAAGTCTGGGCACATTTATTATATCTGTTACGATTCTCCAAAGTAATCCCTTAAGTAACTTTTCCTAATCTTCTGCCTGGTTTGATAACTTGATGGATGGTTTTCAGTGGCTTCAATGATTATTGCTGACCGATGGTAGATATCCGAAAAGTGTTTGATTCTAATGGGATCTTCGCAAGGGGGTTTCTGGTGTTGCTGTTGCTAATCAGACCGATTGAATTTGGTTTTAGTCTAATTATCTTAAGAATTGAATTTTTGGTTAACCATTGCAGGTCGTTCTCGTGGGAACATTGTATGTACAGAGCTTTCCAATTTTCAGAAAACTAAAAACTAATAAAAGAAATTTTAATTTACTAGCGTGTGTTTACCGAAAACGAAAAATAACGGTTTTTGTATTATTTTGATTTTAATTAATTATCTGGTCGTTCCTATGGCAGCTACATATATGATAAAGTCTTCCGTTTTTAATCAATTTTGTTTGAAGTTCTGAAATATTAAAGTAATTATATTAGGAAATAAATATAAATATGTCGAATAACACAGAACTTATAATTTTTTCATTTTTTGTAAGGGGGTAGCTCGGTTTTTTTTGGGATTCAGATTTTGGTCAAAAATACTCATTTTTTAGTGGTTTTTCAGTCGTAGTTTAGCCAAATCAAGGCGTACAGCTAAGAGACCGACAGATTTGAGCAGCTTGCTTCAATTGGTATCGACCCCCATCATTTTAAGGAAGCTTTATTTTTTGACAAATTTTTTCATTTTTTGTAAGGGGGTGGCTCGGTTTTTTTTGGGATTCAGATTTTGGTCAAAAAAACTCATTTTTTAGTGGTTTTTCAGTCGTAGTTTAGCCAAATCAAGGCGTACAGCTAAGACACCGACAGATTTGAGCAGCTTGCTTCAATTGCTATCGATCCCCATCATTTTAAGGAAGATTTATTTTTTGACAAATTTTTTCATTTTTTGTAAGGGGGTAGCTCAGTTTTTTTTGGGATTCAGATTTTGGTCAAAAATACTTATTTTTTAGTGGTTTTTCAGTTGTAGTTAAGCCAAATCAAGGCGTAAGCTAAAAGACCGACAGATTTGAGCAGCTTGCTTCAATTGCTATCGATCCCCATCAGTTTAAGGAAGATATAGTTTTTGACAAATTTTTTCATTTTTTGTAAGGGGGTAGGTCGGTTTTTTTTGGGATTCAGATTTTGGTCAAAAATACTCATTTTTTAGTGGTTTTTCAGTCGTAGTTTAGCCAAATCAAGGCGTACAGCTAAGAGACCGACAGATTTGAGCAGCTTGCTTCAATTGGTATCGACCCCCATCATTTTAAGGAAGCTTTATTTTTTGACAAATTTTTTCATTTTTTGTAAGGGGGTGGCTCGGTTTTTTTTGGGATTCAGATTTTGGTCAAAAAAACTCATTTTTTAGTGGTTTTTCAGTCGTAGTTTAGCCAAATCAAGGCGTACAGCTAAGACACCGACAGATTTGAGCAGCTTGCTTCCATTGCTATCGATCCCCATCATTTTAAGGAAGATTTATTTTTTGACAAATTTTTTCATTTTTTGTAAGGGGGTAGCTCGGTTTTTTTTGGGATTCAGATTTTGGTCAAAAATACTCATTTTTTAGTGGTTTTTCAGTCGCAGTTTAGTCAAATCAAGGCGTACAGCTAAGAGACCGACAGTTTTGAGCAGCTTGCTTTAATTGCTATCGATCTCCATCACTTTAAGGAAGATTTATTTTTTGACAAATTTTTTCATTTTTTGTAAGGGGGTAGCTTGGTTTTTTTTGGGATTCAGATTTTGGTCAAAAATACTCTTTTTTTTGTGGTTTTTCAGTCGTAGTTTAGCCAAATCAAGGCGTACAGATAAAAGACCGACAGATTTGAGCAGCTTGCTTCAATTGCTAACGATCCTCATCATTTTAAGGAAGATTTATTTTTTGACAAATTTTTTCATTTTTTGTAAGGGGGTGGCTCGGTTTTTTTTGGGATTCAGATTTTGGTCAAAAATACTCATTTTTTTTGTGGATTTTCAGTCGTAGTTAAGCCAAATCAAGGCGTACAGATAAAAGACCGACAGATTTGAGCAGCTTGCTTCAATTGCTATCGATCCTCATCACTTTAAGGAAGATTTATTTTTTGACAAATTTTTCATTTTTTGTAAGGGGGTAGCTCGGTTTTTTTTGGGATTCAGATTTTGGTCAAAAATACTCATTTTTTTGTGGTTTTTCAGTCGTAGTTAAGCCAAATCAAGGCGTACAGATAAAAGACCGACAGATTTGAGCAGCTTGCTTCAATTGCTAACGATCCTCATCATTTTAAGGAAGATTTATTTTTTGACAAATTTTTTCATTTTTTGTATCGGGGTTGGTTTTTTTTGGGATTCAGATTTTGGTCAAAAATACTCATTTTTTAGTGGTTTTTCAGTCGTAGTTTAGCCAAATCAAGGCGTACAACTAAAAGACCGACAGATTTGAGCAGCTTGCTTCAATTGCTATCGATCCCCATCATTTTAGGGAAGATTTATTTTTTGACAAATTTTTTCATTTTTTGTAAGGGGGTAGTTCGGTTTTTTTTGGGATTCAGATTTTGGTCAAAAATACTCATTTTTTAGTGGTTTTTCAGTCGTAGTTTAGCCAAATCAAGGCGTACAGCTAAGAGACCGACAGATTTGAGCAGCTTGCTTCAATTGGTATCGACCCCCATCATTTTAAGAAAGATTTATTTTTTGACAAATTTTTTCATTTTTTGTAAGGGGGTAGCTCGGTTTTTTTGGGATTCAGATTTTGGTCAAAAATACTCATTTTTTAGTGGTTTTTCAGTCGTAGTTTAGCCAAATCAAGGCGTACAGCTAAAAGACCGACAGATTTGAGCAGCTTGCTTCAATTGCTATCGATCCCCATCATTTTAGGGAAGATTTATTTTTTGACAAATTTTTTCATTTTTTGTAAGGGGGTAGCTCGGTTTTTTTTGGGATTCAGATTTTGGTCAAAAATACTCATTTTTTAGTGGTTTTTCAGTCGTAGTTTAGCCAAATCAAGGCTACAGCTAAAAGACCGACAGATTTAAGCAGCTTGCTTCAATTGCTATCGATCCTGATCATTTTAAGGAAGATTTATTTTTTTTTTAAATTTTTTAATTTTCTGTAAGGGGGTAGCTCGGTTTTTTTGGGATTCAGATTTTGTAAACAGCCAATTCAACTTGATTTGAGCAAAATAAAAACATTTTCTAATTCGAATTCTATTTTCAAGAACATTTTCAACTCAAATGAGATCGTCAGAATTTTCTCTGTATAACAAAAATAGTAAAAAGTAATTTTAAGTTTAAAATGTTTAATATGCCTAGTTTAAAATAATATTTGAAATAATATAAAGCATATTGGAAGAAGATGAACAGACGAAATAATATGTTTCATATATTAAAAGATAATGGCTTTATTTATGTTTATTAGTTTGTAAACTATGTGTTTCTTTGTTGCCATGGTGCTCCTGTGACTTCCTGGTCCTCAGGACAGGCCTCACATCTCGACGATCTCATCGTCGCTAAAGTCCTCGGAAGGAGCCAAGGGGGGCGTGCCCCTGGGCAGAAGGAAGCGCACCTGTGGCATTTGGGCGGATGGCAGGGTGTGATGGGTGGCCACTCCAAATCCAGTAGATGGCTCCGTGGCCGTAAACTCCAGACCCTGCTGGGGCCATAGGAATTCGGAGTGGGGTTCTGCGAAGGAAGAAGAAGGGGAGCCGGGAACCCTCAAAGGGCTCGCTGGATGCCAAAGGATCAAGTGGGTGGTAATGTTGTTGACCCTGTTGGGATGCGAGGCCGGAACAGCCACGCAGAGCGGACAAATGACGGAGAGGCGCACCAGGCGGTGCTCCATCTGGCAGTGCCTCATCAGTTCTCCGGCGGACATGCCCATGCCGCCGCACAGTGGGCATGTGTAGCTATCGGCGCATAGATCCGGCGTCTGCTCGCCGGCAAAGAAAAGCTCGCGGGCGGCGCGGTCCAGGAGGCACTGGAACGGGTGATCCTGCTCGTGCTGTCCAGTGGTGACCCCGTTCTCGTGGCAGTCGGCGCACAGATCGTAGTCCGGGCAGCGCAGGCACTTGTAGCGGTAGTGGATCAGCCGGGAGCTACCGCAGCCATCGCAGTTCACGTCCCAGTGGATCAACGTCTCCAGATACTGCTCGTCAGGGCTTACAGGGGGATTCCTTGGCGAATCCTGCACGAATTCCAAGCAATGCAAAAGTTAACAATTTCAAGTAGCCCTTCAAGGAAAACACCTCTTACACTAGTTTACTAATTAGTTTAATTTCATAAGAAAATTTATTATTCTTTGATTTCAATTTTTGACTTTTCTAATCACTTACACTCCCAAAAAAAAATTGTATATATTTTTATTTTTAAATGACAACCGACAAAACAGTTTATTAATTATTCAACAACAATGTTCCAAACACTGAAAATTGTTTTTACGCAATTCTCGGTTTTTATTAATCAAATAGCCTTCAAGTTCTAACACAATTTAAAATTTTTCCTTCCTGCATATTGTATTACGAGGGCTGCTATTTAAGTTTCTAGCCATATTGCGACCAATTAACCTTTTCCCAATAAAAGTTTGGACTTTTATCGATAAAAGCGTTTAATCTAAAACTTACCTCGGCGCATTTCCGTGCCATAATCTTTCACAACTTTCGACGTGGATTAGTGCAAGGAAAATTTGATAGATAGTTTGAAATCGGGTTTTCGTTGACGAGCCAAATATCGAAAGTGGTTCGTGGAAGAAGTGGCGACAGTTCCGCTTGAGCAACGTAAGAAGGTCAATTCTGAGTGGTATACCACAATTTGTTTGCCTGAAGTCTTCGGAGAAATTCGAAAAAGGAACAAGAGATGACGGATCATTGTGCACCATGACAATGCCAGCTTTCACACATCAGCTCAAACCAGCGAAAAACTATAAAGCCCTTTTGATGATAAATATTCTCATGTTTGTTATTAGGTCAGAAATATATATAGCAACCCTCGTAACTAACAATTGGGCAAACAAAAAAATTGTAAACTGAATATTATTAAAGTGATTTTAACACATCGTCTTAAAAATTGTGCGTACAAAAGTTTTATGCAAATATTTTCTGCCAAATATCTTTTTTATTGCGAAAACACTTATTGCCATTTTTCAATCGTAGCCATGCGTATAGCAAAAAGAACCAACTGTTATAGCAGCTTGCTATTTCAGTTTGTCGTTTCTTGCGGAAATTTCTTATTACGTTATTTTACCCTTACTCTACAATTAACGGGTATACATAACTATCAACAATTTGAAGTACACTTGCAATGAAAGAAGTGTTAGATAAAGCTAAAGTAAGTACCCGAATTAAGACTTTTGGCAAGAAAAAAGAAATACCTTGAAAATTCAACAAATTTCAGCAATTCATAGAACGACCCTAAATAGCTCCTTTTGAATTTTCAAACAGTTGTGATCAGTTTTTCGGAAGTAAATACACGTAACTAAAATACACGCCTAAAATTATTAATAAGGTAAGAAGAACTTAGATATACTTAATAAACTGATTTTAAAATAAATATTGCTTACTGGTGGTATTAAAATATTACAGAGTAACCATGGCTTTTTAAGCTAATAGGGTGACAACTCTGGTTTTCAGCAGATAGGTCTTATCGAACGAAAATTGCTAACGAAGCAACCCGAGAGTTCCTGAAAAATATTACGTCTGACAATTCAGTTCGACAATTGATATTAACAAAACGGAGCTAAAGGTGATTTGTGATATTTTCTAAACGAGCAATGGCGAGTCGGCCGAAAAATGAATACGACGATTCTTCGGAAGAGGAAAACGAAACAATTATGAAACTCTTAAAAGGAATTATCGATGCGGACTCAGAGGAGGAGGACTCAGAGGAGGAGGCACCATTGGAGGAGGCACCATCCACAAGCCACAGGTGCAAGAAGCGCGGAAGGAAGCGCGGAAGGAAGTATTCTTCGGAGGACGCAGAGGAGGAGGAGGAAGGTCCCTCCACAAGCCGCAAGCGCAAGCGCAAGCGCAAGAAGAAGCGCCGCAAGAAGTCCAAGTCTTCTGACAGGTAGGACGGAACAGATATTTTCATTTTAGGCTGAGCAGCTAGAATGCTTTGTGTACTTATAACATGGGTTTTCTTCAATTTAGGGCCCGAATGCCCGTAGAATATCCAGAAATTGATGAACCATTAGGAGCAGACACAACCCCTGAACCGCTTTCGCCCTGGTAAGCCATCTTAAGTTAATTTGGCAAATTATCCAAATTTCATTATTTAATTTCATAAAAACCATTTCAGTGGCCCGGTCTTAGAACCGTCGGCCGAAGAGTATATTGTGGAGGGTGTGGACTTGAATGGTGTGGTGGAGTCGTCGGAAGCGGAGGGTCCTGGGAGTTCTATGGCAAGTCAGGAGAAGTCAGAATCTCCACCCTACGAAGCAATCGAATGCGTGTTGTCCGAGGAATCTTCCTCGGAAGAAGGTGACGGTCCTAGCAACATTACTTGTCCACTACCTGGACAAGGAAATGACCCGATTGTCAATTAGACTCGATGAGACGGGAATGATCCAGGCGAGGCGGATGAAGTTCTAAAGAAACGTTACCTGCTTTCGGCCAGATATCGGAACCCCTAATCAACCAGAATAAAGAAGTCCCACAGACACGCAAAAAAATAACTGTTCGGTGTTTACGCAGTTAAATAAATAATTAATTTTCATAATCCTGAGAAGAGCCCTTGGTGATATAAAAAAAATTAATGAATATTATAATGCAATGAATGGGAAAGAACTTACAATATATTCTTTGGCAAGTTTTTCAACCAAAGTAAACACTTTTTGGCTTAAATAAGGGGTAGCAAAAATCATGTGTTTAAAGGGATTTATTAAAGCTGTGTTTTAAAATATAAGATTTAATAATTTAATTTTAAATTCTCCTAGCTTAAGGCCCAGTTCCTATAGCTAGAATAAATGGTTGGTGGCAATTTGCAATTGTCACAAAACCAGAATATAAATAAATAACAAATTTTAAAAGCCTTATAATAATATTTCTAATAAAATTAGTCATTGCAATATTTCTTTCTACATCCATTTCAATTTATAAAAAACTTCTCTGAATATATAAATGTACTTCTAATCATCAAAAAGGAAGTTGCCAAAATTGTAATTTCGAAAATATTCCTTTCGAGTTCAAAATCACGGCTCTATTTTTTTGGTCCGCAGTGTGTGGCCCGTCGAAGGCCTCATCCGCGTCGAGTCAGATATATGTTTAGCCTAAAATCCACTCCCCCGACTCCTTGAAATATATACGGCCTTTCGGCTCGTTTTGGTTTCGTTTGTTCGCGCTTTGTACATAAATTTCATGCAAATTGACTAATTAATTTTTGCGCAATGGATTCTTATCGCATGCACTGGGCAATATATTTGATATTTGCATAATGCACGTGTATTGCCGGGTGTGTTTTTCAGGTGGGTTCAGGTGAGTTCAGGTGATGGGCCTAAGGCCAACCCACGCACTCGCTTTCTGCCCCAGGCTGCCACACACTGAAAACTATTTTGCCTAACTCAAGGTGTTCGCAAATAAACAAATCTAAATCCAATCCATAAATAGGGTATATTTATTTGACGCAGCAATTTTGTGGGATTTTATTGCCCCCTAAGTACTATCTTTTTGCTATGAAAACATCATTATTATTTCAGACCATCCTTATAGATTGCCCCATTTTTTTGCAGTTCATCCGCTGCGGTGCGGTAAAAACAACAACCATTTTAATGACGGATATTAAGCATAACCACACAACTAAACGCAGAGCGAAAGGGGGTACACTGCGGGAAAACGGGGGGCGAAATGTGCAATGCTTCCGTGTTTTTCCCGCAGGACAGCGACTGACTTTAAGCCTGCCAAATATGCTGATTGCAGCAATAATGATGATTATGTTTGCGCGGCCTGCATGCGCGGCTCGAATTTGTTGGCCACAGCGGAAGGAAGTCGAAAGCATTGACAATGCCAGCGACACGAAACATGGCCAAAAGGGGTTGGCAGAGGGGGGCAACAGGGGGGTAGCAGGGGGCCTTAGGGGCGCCCCAAAGGGGGACAAGTGCAGCCACAATGCCAACGACAATGACGAGCTGCAAAGGCATTTAACGACTTGCAAATGCCACTGCTCCTGCCACTTGACTACTTGACTACTTGACTGACTGACAAACTGACTAACTGACATCCAACAAATGCGAAAAAGAAACATCTAGCGGGTTGGTAAGCGGCAGCTTATGGAAATACACAAGACCGCATGAGGCAAATCGATCTGGGAAATACTCTTCCCCAAGAAAAAATATATAAGTACACCTGAACCATCATTTATATCATCATCATATTTATAAATATTTTTGAAAACGTGTTAGATATTTTATAAGATTTCTTAAAACCTATCACTTTAATTATAAATATTTTTAAAAACGTATTAGATATTTTATAAGATTATTGAAAACCCACAAATCCAAGTGAACTTTAATTCGTAGAGTAATTTATACTTTAATTTATCATGACTGAATTAATCCTTTATATGGAAAAATATTAAAGTTAAATTATATTTGTAGCTTTTCTAAAAATATAAATTTAGTTCCCTTTAAAATATGTTTAAAAAAAAAGTTCAACAAATATGATTGTAATTCTGTTTAACTCTCTATAAAGATTTGTTTATTCTATTTTTCAGGCATAAGCATTATTGAAAAACCCAGCAACTCCGCTGTATTTAGGGCATACACTGTGCAACAAAATTATTGCATTGCGTGCATAAACTTTTGCAGGGCCTGCGTATCCGAAACGCAGTTAGTTTTGCCCACCGCTTTTCCGCTTTCCACATTCCCGACCCTCGGAAAACCGGCCTTTCTATACCGGATGAGTCTTTGCCTGTGTGGCCATATTAGCAAAGTGAATTGGTTTTTATTTGTAACGGAAATGTGGAAAATTATTTTCAGCTGTTTGGTCGTTTGGTGATTTGCATAAGTCGCAGGTGACAGTCGTCGCTGTTTTTTCCCAGCCTTGGTTTTCCCTCAGCCCCATTTCTTTCTCTGTACGCGTCGCACTCACTGAGAGAAGAGTTTTTACATAAAAATAGGTCATTGCAAATTCAGCTCTTAGAAAAATTTAAAAATAATACTCTTTGTTTGCCAAATGACAATGTTTTTTTTTTAAGTATCTAAAAGGGGCTCTTGTTATTTTGCAAAATTGTTAAATATTTTTTTCCATATGTATGTATAGCTAAAATTTGTGATTTTTAGACCACTTATATAAAAACATGTCTAGTTCATTTATGTTTCAGTACATGTATATTTTACATCTTAGAAACTTTGTGAGTTTAAAAAGAACCATTTTCCACTTAGAAAAATAATTAATGTGATTTTGAAAAATAGTTAGTTAAATTAATTATTAATTTTGGTAAGCCTTTAACATTTTTAAAATGTGTTCAATTAAATAAGAATATTTTTCATTCGGCAAATATTATTTTAAGAAATATTTGAAAATATCAAAAAGGTCTTTGATTTTTTTTATGTATTCATAGTTATTATATATGGAAAAATCGATGAATTTTAGACCAGCTGAATATAAAAGTCTGTTAATTTATATATCAATGAAATTCCTAAGGTATAGGCACTAGTTTCTCGCAGTGCGCAAAGTGGCCCCAAGAATCTAAAGCAGCAGCTGTGGCTTAGTCCGATTTTCCTCTTACCATGCATGCCCAAAGCGGCTTAAGTGAGCGGTGGGAACAGGACCAGCAACCAGCAACCAGCAACCAGCGATTCGGGATCAGGAGGATGAAAGACCAGGAGTCCTTGGACTTGCCGTTGGAGTCCCTTAGCAGCCAGTCGACAAACTGGACAAACTGGACGAACTGGGCGACGACTGACCGGCGGTGATAAGAATATCCGAGTGGACTTGGCCCCTTTTGTCCGCCGGTTATAAACACATAACACAAGACATTTGAGTGGGGAAGTTTTGGGTTGTTTTGTTTACGTCTCGGAATCGAGGGTCTTATGCGTTTCGGTGGGCGGAGTGGCGCAGGGGCGTGGCAGCGATCGCTGGCGGTCGCGGAAAAAACTGAGAACCTAAGCGGATTGTAGCTACTTGCCATCTTGATGATTGATTCAATGCAAGTTTTATTTCGGGTATTTTTTAGGCCATTCGACAAGCGATTTTGGTATTTTATTTATGGCTTTTTTATCTTCCGCGTCTCTTCGACCAGCCATAAATTTGATGTTCAACAAAGAGGATACAAAATCGGAGCAAAGGCCATTTGTTCTTCAATATTAGATTTTAAAGATTCCGCAATAATGGAGTTTAAATATGAAAATGTTTAGCACGCGCTTGTTTTAACTAATAATAATACATTATATACTCTGCTTTTATTGTTTATAAGCAAATAAATGTATAATTTATTTTCAAAAATGCTTTCAGGAATTAGTTTATGAACGTTATGCACATTTTATTTCCACCAATGTCGTTAAATATTTGCCTCGCAAATACCAAAAATCATTCAATTTTTAATTTGTTTAAAATTTGGACTGGTAAAATTATTTCTTCTTAATAATATTTGTGTCAAAACGAAAGTACTACCAATATTTCAGTTTGCTCTAAGCTGATTTATTATTATTATTGATGCCGACTTGTTTCCGTTGTTGAAGTGCCCGCAAAAGATTGGTATTTTGGAATTTAATTCAATTTATTTTTCATTTCAGAGCTCGAGACTCGTGACTTTTGGCCAGAGGTCCTCGGAGAGATGCAGTGGATGGATTTTCCGACCTGTCCGATTTTCCCGCCGCCCCCGTCATGAATTTTCCAAGGCCCCCCACCTCCGCCGACCACAGTTTTCCCTTTGAGCTGTGTGCTCTTTGGGTGTCCGTTGGCTTTGCAGGTTTTTATGCATGTGGCCATTAACTGTCGGCTTTCCCCTTTTTAGGGGGGGTGGGGGGTGGGAAAGGGGTGTGCTGCCTCCAGCCATGGTCGACCCCCTTTCCGACCCTCCCCTCCCCCCCAAAACCCAGGGGCGGTCATCAGCATTGCAACATTTGCTAGCTTGACTTGCAGCTGCTCGTGGGAAATCAGTTTAATGGAAATTATAGCATTCGATTACTTCTCAAACTAAGCCTACATTTGGACCGCTTTTCCGACCGATTTGCCCCTGCTTTTCCGTCGCTTTTCCATCCCACTTAAGTGGCCCGGATTGCGGCTCATCAAGGAAAAGGCAAAGGCATCTAGGAAAATGGTCTCAGTTAATCGGAGTTCTTGTCAAATGCCTAAAAGTATGCAGCAAAACGTAAAAGGGGGAAAAGTGCCGGAAAATGCAGCTGGCGTTGGCTTGGAAAATCCTTCTGGTCAGAGCAGGTGAGCGGCATTTTCCATTTAAGTGACAAACCAACGGACATGCAATCGCCCACAGAGGGAAAGCGCATTTCGCAGAGATATGAGGGGACCCGATAAGAATAGACAAATGCTAATCGGAACAAGCACTTTCTATTTAAAACTAACAAATAGATTAAAATTATATAAAATAAATTCAAAACTATAGGATCAGGAAGGCCTTCTTTAAATTGCATTATTACTTCAACCGTTTTAGCGTCTATATATATAATATTTTTTCATTGTTTATAGGACAATGTAATAGCAGCAGCTAAGAAAAACAGACTGGGTTGTAAAGCTGAAAAACTAAACTACCGATAAGCATAACTTTCGGGCTAAGTAATAAAATAAAATATTGATAAAAATTAATGTTGTGGTTAAAATTTAAAAATGTTTGATTTGAATCACAAATGATTGGTATTTTAGGTACAAGTCTTACGAGGTATTACATTCCAAATTCCATATATTTGAAATCATTTTTAAAATTATCTTTACTGAGACCCGTTGCTACTCTTTGTATAGTTTCATTTACAAATAAGAACTTAAAGAAATATTTTTTTTATAGTACATATAAGTTTCAGAAACAATTTTGTTTATAAGTATTGTAATATGTTTACAGTTAATTACTATAAAGAATTTTATTTATAAGTAAAAAAGAATCTATATTTTACTGTAAAAATAAATATTTACTAACAAAAAGTTGGAATTTTTAATCATTTAACATTTTTTGTTTTTGAATGAACATAATATTTTTTATTTATATTTAAAAATTCTTTCGTAATATTTGGATTTTTATTAAGTTTATATATGTTGAATACCGAAATATAGATTTCATTTTAGGCATTGCAAACAAGTTGTTTGGGGCTAGCAAAATGGAAAAAATCTGAGACATGAAAAGTGTATTTTTCGTTTTGTGTTCAACTGGGGACTACGTGATGACCCCACACCCCCGGCGTACATGTGGCTGTGTGAAGGTCACGTGTCCGCACTCCACACCCCCTGCCACCCCCCTAAAACACCACCCCCCTACCCCCGAAAAACACCACCCTTTCGTTGGCTGTCGAATTTCGACAGTGAGTTTAATGAAGTGCAACGAGAACTGCAAGCAATTGAAATGCATTTGGCATTTTCCGGGGGGCGGTGGATGTGGGCAAAAAAACTGCACCTGAAGATGCAGTGTTTTCCTCATTTGGCAGCCTTTTTTGTTTGGTTTTTCTTTTCTTCTTTTTTTTTTTGTTGCATCATCAAGGGCCGTTGAACATGCCACACGCATCGCCGAAATAAAAGTAAAGACACGGGTGGTGCACCTTTTGATTTTCTTTGCGCCCCATGGGGGAAAACGGATAAAAGACAGCAAGGAAAAACTGTTCCCACTCTGTTAACGTCTGCTGTTAAGTTTTCCTCGTTTTCCGCTGCCGACGTCGCTGCCTCTGCCGGCGCCTGCGCCTCTCCTGAAAATCATCCTTCGTATTTCGAACTAACCATTCGGGTCGCCCTTCGTCTCGGGGTGTTCTAAAATTTATTTTAGATCACCTGCTTTGGGACATCGTGACCCACCAAGAGGGTCTCGGATTTTTGGGACTCGTCGCATTCAGCGATTTGCAGCGCTCAGGAGCAGTTGCACAGGGCGTATGCGCAATGTGCGTATGCGTAATATTTGGCTGGTCGATGGCCATGGCCAGTGGGATATATGGCGAAAAGACGAAATAATATCCACAAGATTTGCATACAGCCAAAAGGTGAAGTGAAGAAGGGGGCGACGACGATGGGAAACGTTTGTGTTGCAAATGCACTTGACTTGGAGACTTTTGCAACTTGGCTTCGTTTGGGTCGACTTGCTCATTACTGCGGCGCTTATGATGATAATTTCTGGCCAGTGAAGGGGATCCATCTGCAAATAGTTGGGCCCCGGCCGCCAGGAAGCCATGGTTTCTGGGCCCCAGACTCTGGAATGGGGTCTTAACAAGTTCGGGGGGGGGGGAGCCAGAGGAGCAGGGGCAGCAGCTCCTCCAAGTTGTTCTCGGAATGACTGACTCTCCAGTCAAAGTTAAACTTGGTAATTGTCTAGTGCTTGAATGGTTAAGGAACTTTTGAGTTCGTGGAATTTCGGTCGGGGGATCAGATATCCAAGATGGCAAGTCTGCCTAATGAGAGGCTGCAAATTAGGAGATTGTAATGTGAGAAAAATTATAGGCTTCGAATTATTAATTGGGGTTTGGGACAAACAGTCAGATATAAAAGTATCCAATAACCTTTAAGGTGGGTGCAACAAATTTAATATTTTAAATTACTAAATAACCACCAGATATTTTCTCTAGATTTAATTTTATAATTTCTTTAATCTAAGAAAATAATATCATGATTGTTTTAACAATATTTGCTGTGCTTAAGCAGGCCCAATAAAATAAAACGCCACTAATGAAAAGCAAATAACCGAAAATAAAGCCAAAGGAGCTGAACAAAATAAATACGCGTGCAAATAAATTATAATTATAATAAGTAATAAATAAAAGCAAATATAGCAAGTGGCGACGAGATGAGACTCCGCGCAGCGGTTTCACACGCAATTAACATATTCTCTCTGTTGCATTTAAATTGCTGCATATGGATTACGCGGTGGCTGCTGATCCCACCCACCAAAGGCCGCCCAAGGCCGCCCACCAACCCACCGAACCACCGAACCACCAACCCACCAGCACCACCCACTCGGCGCCTTCTTTCGCTCCTTCGCTGGGTCCTTTTTTTAATTACTTGTTTTTTGCAGCACGTTTTTTATTCAATTACTTGTACAAATTGCAAACAGACAAAAATGAAATGGCGAGAAAAAATGAGCAAGTATTCGGTGACGTTGGGGCATCAGGTGCCCGGATAAATGTTGCAATTTGTATGATAGCCCCCGACCTCTGACCCCCATTCACCCCCACTCCCCCCCTTCGCCCCACCACCCCACAGGCGTCACTTTGCAGTCGTATTAAACAATTAACAAGTGTAATTGATAAACAATTAGCGGCATTATGAGCGAGCCGCATTGCGAAAAAATGTTAAACTCACATATGCAAAAGTATAAACAAAGGAAAATCGAGACGAAAACCAAGGAAACAACACCGCAGCGAGCTATACTCTAAAAATAAATTCAAATGTCTTTATTAGTATCATATTGCAGGAAAATATATTTTATTGAATTTATAATCTCATAAATATTTAAATTGAAATCTCTATTATTGTATTATTTTTGTGAAAGGAATCCAATTTAAGTTGTTCCCAATCGATGCTTTAACAAATACTCCCAGTTAGGGTATCGAAAATGTATAAACAAACAAAAACGAAACGCATCTGAAACCCATGTAGTACATATAAATGCTTGATAAGGCGAGAATAATTTGTTTATGAAACTGGGCAATTCTCAGAAAACGCTAATGACTACCGCAAACAACACGATAAAAAAACAAATTGATAAATTGACATTATTTTTGGACACCATCTCGGCATAAATATTTTTAGTTGTGTGCCCTTTAAAAAACTAGACGTTGGTAACATTAATCAAGGGTTTGATTTTTAAAATCTACATTATATTTTTTTTTAAATAAACATCAACGGAAAATACTTGTAGTGACAGCATTTAAAAATTGTATAATATTATAATTTTATTGTTATATATTGCATAAAAGTAATCAATTCGTAAATAAATATCAAACATACCAAAAAAATCAAAATGATTATAAAATGTACAAAATATGTACATAGAAATATGTACACATATCAAAAATATATCATATTAAGAAAAACAGAAACATAAGAAAATAAAGAACTTCTGATTTATTTATTATGGACCAGTAAAAAAACAGGATTTTCTTAAATCAGTATTCAACGAATATTAAATTAACAATTTTTTTAAGTGCGAACCACTATACAAAATTCGTAATACTATATTTTAATGGACCCGATAATTTGTGTTGTAGGGTGCCGGGTAAAAACCCCCGAAAACTAAAGAATTGCTTACAAAAATGTCAATGTATAATGACAATTTATAGACGTTTTTCTAGTGGCCAGCCCAAAAACCAGTCGATTTGCGTATGCCCTCCTCTAAAGGTAGGAGGGATGGGGCGGGGGTGGGATGTTTGTCTGGGGTCTTGAGAGCCGCTAAGTGCCGTCTATATAAGCAAACACCCAGCGGTGATCTCCATTTAGTTGTCGTGCCGAGGGAAATCCAAACAGACGAAAATGCGAGCATCCACATTGTTATTCGGCGTGCTGTTGGTGGCCAGTTGCTCCTCGATTTTGGCCAGGCCGCAGGAAAGCACCACTCCTAGCAGAAGCACCACCTCAACCACCAGCACCACCACTCCAAAATCCGAGGAATCGACCAGCCCCACTACGACTACGACTACGACCACGACCACGGAAAAGCCGCAGTCGGAGTCCACAACTCCCAGTACTATCACTACTAGCACCACTCCGAGTACCACCCCCAGCACCACCCCCAGTACCACCCCCAGTACCATCCCCAGCACCACCTCCAGTACCACCCCTAGCACCACCACCACCACCACCACCACTCCAAAACCCGATGACGATGAGGCCGCCAAACTCCTACAGCAATGTGCCGAGTTGAGCCGCCGGAAGAAGCGCGGTGGTTCGTCCTCTTCCGAAGAAGACGACAGTAGTGAGAAGAAAGCGGCGAAGAAAGAACGCAAGCAGTTGAAGAAACTGTGCAAGCAGTTGAGGAGGCAGCAGGAGCGCAAGCAGGAGAAGTCCCAGAAATCAGCACTATCCGAATTGGCCGATGCCCTGCGAAACTACAACCAAAAACAGAAGAACTAATGCGCCAGTCCTCCACCTTTTTTCTTTATTTTTTTGTTGTTGTATAGTGTATTTTATTTTATGTAACAAAAATTAAACCAATAAATAAGCTATTCTGTTTAATTATACAAGCTTTTCGGGTTCAATGTTATGGAAATGGCATGTATTATTTATTCGGTTAATTAGATATTTGAACCGGTATGTCTTTGACAAAGTAATTTTTAAAAGAATGAAGATAAATATTCCATTAATCCATCTACAAGGGTCGAAGGTCAGCATATTTAAATATGGAGTTTTTTAAGATTATATTTACGATAACAAAAAGCCTCAGTTGAACCTGACCATTTAAAATTGATTAAGACGATAGTGGGTTAGGGTTCTTAAACAGTCTCAATCGAAAAAAAAACCTTATGTACTACAACTTTTATAACCAGTATAGAGCTTAGAGCTTATTTATATAAAACTATTAGTTTGTGTACGCATAAGTTGGCCTATATTTTTGAATATGGATCGGAAACCTGATAATAAAAAACCTGCTCCACAAAATCGAATAAAACTAACCCATTTGTTTGGGCTTTCATTTTTTCGTTTTCAAAGCCAACAAATCAAGCAAAAATGGTAGAAAGTGCAAACAAATTTGATTTGTAATCGATTTTGACTTTATTTGCTTGTACATTAGCACTGCATACGTCAACAAAATCATTCAAAACGTGGATAAGTTTCTGATTCACAATTTGTGTTCGGTGAAAGTTTCTTTTAAGTTTCAATTATTTATGCGAATTGCTTATGAAGAGGTTCTATTGTGCTTCCAATTCATTATATATATGTGCACCCCAACCTTGGCAAACAAGTGTATGATTTATTATTAGTTCTTAAATATTTCCGCTTAACCCAACCAGAATCAATATCCAAAAATAAAGCTAAACCCGTTTTTGGTGCCCAGCAAGTTTTACGCAGTTACAGCCATTTTTACAAGAGCAAATCGATTGGCTAAAACTATATGAAGAAAAAACACATATTTTCAGACCGAAAAAAATTAAATTAAAATTCAATTCGACTGGCATAGATCTTCGAAACACGTTTCAGATTTCTTGTTCTATTTTTCTGCATACGTGAACCTCCTTTTATTTCGGCCAGTTGTGGCTTGAGGTCAATTTGAAAATGCGAGCTGCTGGCCAAGAAAGCAATTTGCATAATCAACATATGAGAAAATCAAGCGCAAAGAGACGTGAATTTTTGGACAGCAGCGAAAATCGAAGAAGAAATATGAATGCTAATTAGTTTGAGCCATTGAACTCTGCTCGATGAGGAGGAGATGTGGGAAAGTGCGGGACTGCCACTAGTTCACTGAAAAAAATAGGTTGTCTGTTTTATAATTTGTCATGGCTTAAGAAAAATGTTGAAGAACAATTTTAGTTATTAATGTGACACAATATTTAATATACAAATCTTATACAGGTGTCTAAAAGTATGCAATAGTACATATTAAAAAGTCTTATAGACTCTGTCCACTGACCCAGATCACTGATAATGAAATATATCTTACCTCTACTATAATTAAGTTTTTAATATAACATAATATTAAATATAGAATATAGAAATCTTATAAAGGTGTCTAAAAGTATGCAACAATATTAATAATTTCGAATGGATTCTGTTCTTGCCACATACTTTTAGACACCTTTATATTTATATTTTAAAACCCTATGGTTCCCTGTAGTTCCCTTCTATAAAATATAATAAGACCATTATTTCAAACAACACGTATTCAAGTTTTTTAATAAATAAAGCTTAAAAAAATCCTCTATACTTCTTTGCACCTACAAATATTTGAACATTGTCTTCTCGCGTAGTTTTGGACAGTGTACGCCCTGGCAAAATGGGTCGCCCCTGGCCCATTCTTCGGCTGACACGCTTTGAACCCGCAGACTTAATTATGCAAAAATCCCGAAGCGAAAGATTCTGGTCGAGATGCCGTTAGCCAGAGAGTTGATATAACCCGGGATCGCGGCTGGAATGGCGATTCAGTCGATCGAGAGGCGAACAAGAGCTAAGATAATGATGTGCGGCAAGGGATTCGGGATGATCCTGGTCCTGTTTTGGGCCACGGCCCTTTCCAGCGACCTCTCGCTGGTGAGCGGTAAATTTGTTAGCCAGCGTTCTGCATCAAACTGAGAGTAATTTTTTGTTTTTTTTTTTTGCCTGTGTATTTCTTTCCTGACATGTCAAAGGTCAAACGGTGGCGCCGCTGACGAGCTCCACGAGTGCACCGCCCAAAATGGAGGTGAAGCCCACGAAGCCCATGATCGTGAATGCTCCCCCCAAGAAGCATATGCAGATTGCCCCAGAGACACCGAAACTGAATGGCAGCAAGCCCATGCAGGTCACTGGTTTCATCACGAAATCGGGTAATATCTATGAGATCGAGGACAAGCGGGGCTCCATTGGCTCCATCGAGGGTCGCCAGGCGGACGAGGGGCAAATTGTGTGCAACTACGGCAACGTGGTGATCTACAGCGATGTGCCCTGCGACAAGGTCAGGAATGTGCGAGTGGGCGAGGTCAAGCCGCTCAAGCAGGATCCGCTGGAGGCGGACAACACCGAGAAGAATCCCGCCGAGGGTGAGCAGCAATCGCAGGAGTTGCAGCCGGCGGAGCAGCAGCAGCAGCAGGCTGTGGCCGAGGATCAGAACCAGGACCTGGATCAGGAGCAGGACCAGGACCAGGAGCAGCCCAATCATCCCAGGGGTCAGTCGCAGAACAACCGCCGCCGACGCCGTCGCCGCCCGCAGCAGCAGCAGCAGCAGCAGCAAAGGTTGCAGCAGCAACGTCGCCGGCGACAGCAGCAACGTCGCCGCAATGGCAACGGCAACGGCAACAACAACCTGCGACGTCGCCGCAATGGCAACCGCAACAACAACAACAACAACAGGAACCGCCAGCAGCAAAGACGTCGCCGCCCCAACAACAACAACAACAGGCGACGCATCATCAACAACAACGGCAACGGCCAGCGACAACAGCAACGCCGCCAGCAGCAACGTCGCCGTCCCAACAGCAACATCAATCGTCAGCAGCAACAGCGACGTCGCCTTCGCGAGGGCAATAACTGAATGGGTTAAGGAAAAACGGGTTAAAACCTCCTTCAACCTCCGACGTCCTACCTATAACCTACGACCTCTGAGCCCCAAACTCCCCGAATAAAGCAACAAACAAATAAAACAAACAAACAAACGAAAGCCCCAAATGGAAAATTCACTTTGAGTTGGTCTTTTTGGTCTTTCTGGGGAATCAACACGGGGCAGTAATTAAAACAAGTGCAGTCCACGGCGAGAAAGAGATGGCTAGCGGGGGGTTAGAAAGAGACGGGCATAGCAGCTTAACGCAAAGAGAGCGAGAAAGGGAGAGAAGATAACTTTAAATTCACCAGAATCAAAATAAATGGTTCCAGACACTCAAGACAAGGGACAAAAAGCAAGGAAAATTATAATTACATTCAATTTTCTAAAGATGATTCAACTTAAATAGTAAAGATATTACAAAGAAAGTCTTAAAAATTACAAAAGTCTGATTTTCCAAGCATAAAATAAAGAGGGGTGTGCAATAACTCAATTTCTATAGGTTTTGCCATGCCATTAATCAGTTAAATGTGATGAAGATCATTAGAACAGCGCATTCTTTGATTGAGTTTTACAATCTGATGTTCATAAATCATTGCTGATCATTAAGTTACCCATATAATTTCCTAAATTTCTTGAGGCGGTTTTTTGTGTATACTAATATAAATACTTTAAAATTAATAGAGTCTTACATTTTATTGTTGGTACTTGCTTTCTGTCAAGTACACGCAGTAAAAATTCCCTATAATAATATATATACCATAAAACTATTATAGATTCGCTCCCCATTTAGTAGGGGTTGCCTTACACTTTGTCTCGTGCTGTATTTAGATCCAGTGTAATTTTAGTATCTAACCAAAATCCAGCCCCAAAAGTTCCCTATTTGGAATCACCCCCGCAGAAGCACGATCAAAGTGAATGCAATTTGTTTGAATTCGGTGGCGGACTTTGTTTTCGGCGTTGCCGGCTTGTCACTTTAATTGTAACTAGATTTTCGACTCGACTGTGCACACACACACTCCGCTGCATTCAGATATATATAGGGGATACGTATATAAATGTGAAGGGGGTTTTTGGGGTGGGGGGCAAAAAATGGAGGGGTCGCCTGGGGCTGCGATGTCAACGTCAGCATCAGTTACACGAAGAAATTTGCGCGCTTGGGCCCAGCGCACTTAACACATAAAACAAACAACAACACAGGGGCGGAGGGGGTGTGCCAGTGCAAGAGGGGGCGTGCCATGGGGTGGGGTGTGGGGGGTGGTGGCAAGAGTGCTGCGAGCCAAGCGCGCCAAGAAAGTCATTCAAAAGTCAACCAACTTTCTTTTGAAACACGTTAAAGAGCAGCAGCAAAAAAAAAATCCAGTACACAAAACCAGGGGGGGTTTTTGAGGGGGGGGCTAAAGAATGGTTGAAAGTAGGAGGAGGGGTGGTTGGGGGCAACGGGGGGGTAACGGTTAGGGAGCGGACTATGACATCGCCCCCAACCAACTGCTGTTGCTGATTTTCCTTTGTTGTTTGCATGCACACAGCGAGCGGAGAAAGGATGGTTGCACTTGCCGGCTTGCGTACTTACACTGGGAGAAAAATGCGTTGAGAAATATCTAAAGTTACAAATTTGATTTTGCAGGAAAGCCTGACAAAAGTGAAGCACGCACAAAAGCCCACTTAAACTAAAAAAAATATTTTATATTTTTAAAATTAAAACCTTAACTAATTGTCAAAACTCCTTGGAATTAAGAAGTCCAACTTACAAAAATTTATTTTAAATAAATAGGATTTTTTTCCAAATGAGTAATGGCCTTATGACAGCTTATTAGTGAAAAAAGTCCTATATAAATTATTTTAGGGTTGCCCTGACTTTTTAAATAAAATCCAAATATTAATGTTCTTATGACTTGATTTTTGACTAACTGAGTGCATTTGTTTTAAAATGTCAGAGCAATCTTGTGAACAAGGGTCTACAGCCGAAGGTATTTAATCCTGTTAAGATTTCCTTGGCCTATTGAAATA